CTGAGAAAAAATTCCTGCCCTTGTCCTCTTCCTCCCCCTCACAGGGAACCAGAGGTCCTGCTTCTTCCTTTGCTGAGAAGTTGAGATGTTTTAGGATTGAGAATCTGCAGGCCTGCGCTGAGTGCATGGTCCCTGGGTGGTGCAAACAGTTTGCACTTGACTATTAACCTAAAGGTTGGTGGTTTGAACCCACCCAGCGATGCCATGGAAGAAAGGCCTGGCAATCTGCTTCTGTAAAGATTACAGCCCAGAAAACCCTATGGAGCAGTTCTACTCTGTAATGCACGGGGTCACCATCGGTTGCAACTGACCTGCCAGCAATGGGTTTGGCTTTTGGGTGTTTTTTTTTTTTTTGCACCGAGTGTAGCAAGCAAGCACTAGCTCTTTCTCAGTTACACCTGTTTACACTTTCAGAGTCTTAACTCGGCTGGCCCTTTGATTAGTATTCAAACTATTCATGAGATGAGAGGTGGCGGGGTGTTGAAGTTTCAGAAGTTGTCTCACTGGTGGGCAGAGCTGGGAGTTATGTGTGAATAAAACATAACTGTGCCAATTAAGGAACCCTGGTGGCACAGTGGTTAAGAGCTCGGCTGCTAACCAAAAGGTCGGCAGTTCAGATCCACCAGCTGCTCCCCGGAAACCCTATGGGGCAGTTCTGCTCTGTCCTCTAGGGTCACTGTGAGTCGGAATTGACTCGATGGTAGCGGGTTTCACGGTTTTGTGCCAATTAAAAATAAAAGGCCTGCTATGTTGAACTGATAAACTAAATATGATTTTGGTTTTCAATCTTTCCAAGTATTTAAAGGACCCAGCTCAACCTATTTTGGAGACCTTGGACAAGGACAGCTCGCCGAAGGAAGATGCCTGGGACTCTGTGTCCATCATTTCGTTTCCAGAAAAGGAGCAAGATGCTCGCCAAAGCACTTTGAACCAAAGCGCTGGCCCAGCCCAGCTATCCCCGGAAAGAGGACACTGAAGCCACCAGGGCTGCTGATGCTGCCGCCTGGGGCTTACGAAGACCAGTACCCCTACGTTCCTGCAGCTGACAAGGCCGTATTGGCGTCTGGTGAGAGGGAATGGGTCTGGGCCAGAGAGCAGCTTTTTTTTTTTTTGCCTTTAAACTAAGAATTTTCTAATTCATACCAGTCCTAGAATGATTCTACAAAGATGTCCCAGCAAAATTAAGGTTTCTTTTTTCTTAAACACTAAAAAGGCATGTAATTATTTTTTAGCAAGATGGCGGTGGTACACCTCCAGTATTTTTTTTCAGTGTTGGCTGAGAGGGAGGCTGGAGAGGAGAGAACAGTGGGCTGGAGGGACTAGAGGCCGGGTTCTCTCCGGGACCTGCAGAGGGGCTGGGAGTGGTGGACGCGTCTCAGGGCCTCGCCAGCGTTCTCCAACCAGGGGAGCCAAGTGGCCCTTCACATCCAGTCTGCTGATTTATAAAATGTGACTGATCCTGTACGTATCTTCCTAGTAATTTAAGTTTTTCTTTTTTTCAAGCTAGAAATAAAAGATTGTATAGTCAGTTTTTTACAAAGTCTAAGTGAATTTCTTCACTTTGCCGCCTTTATTTTGGCCTATTTTTTGCAAAGTTTCAACGTCTTAGAATTACTACGTCTGTACTTTTGTTTTCTTAAGTAACACCCAGTAGAGCTATCAAGGAGCCCAGGTGGCTAAGAGCTTGGCTGCTAACCAAAAGGACGGCAGTTCAAATCCACCAGCCGCTCCTTGGAAACCCTATGGGGAAGCTCTACTCTGTCCTCTAGGGTCGCTATGAGTCAGAATTGACTCTGTGGAAATAGGTTTGGTTTGTTTTGGGTTTAGAGCTATCAAGTCCCCCTGGGAACGCAGCACAAACTTTCTGAGTGTGTCACCTGATGCCCTGAAAAGTTTTTGTGTGAGCACTTCATTTGTGTGTGAGTCATGCTATGTTGCCAAGGCAAGGGTTTGCGAGCAGTCAAATCAGCTAATAGACCAGACTGACATCCACAGGGCCCACAAGTCATCTGCTGGGACCAGGATGGGTGGGCTGTTTGGTTCAAAGTAGAGACGTTTAAACCCCATTTCTAAGACTCTTAACATTAAAGAAATGGATGTATACCTTCAGCCCACCTTCCACACAAAGCGACACAGTTGCTGTATGGTTGGCTTTAGGAAGAAGCCCGTGGGGCAGCTCTATCCTGACAGTGCCTGGGGGTCAGGCTCGCAGTCAGCAGTCAGCAGCTCCTCGAAGCTTCTAGCACCAGGTGATGGAACTGCTGTATCCGAGGAGGGGGCCCTGTACATAGATCCTGCTGCTAAGAACTGGCTGTTGGCTAACCTTCTAAGCATTGTGCACCCTGCCATTCAAGGTAGACAGAGACGGACAGCCAGCCACCATCGGGTCAACGCCAAGTCATGGTGACCCAATGCACAACAGAACGAAGCACTGCCCGGTCCTGCATCAGCCTCACGATCCCATGTTCAAGTCCGTCATTGCGGTATTTTGCCAATCCATCTCACTGAGGGTCTCCCTTGCCCCCTGGCCCTCTCCTTCACCAAACGTGATGTCCTCCTCTAGCAACTGATTCTTCCTGATGATGTGTCCAAAGTGAGTCCAGACAACGTTCTGTTGTGATCCATAGGGTTTCCGTTGACTAATTTTTGGAAGTAGATCTCTAGGCTTTTCTTCCATCTTAATCTGGAAGCTCCACTGAAACCTGTCCACCATGAGTGACCCTGCTGGTATCTGAAATTCGGCGGCAGAGCTTCCAGCATCACAGCAACACACAAGCTGCCACAGTATGACCAACTGACAGATGGCGGATGGGCCGTCTAGGGTAGCAAGAGTTCAAAGGGCTCCCACCCACAGCCCCTGCCCCATGCATGCAAGTCCTCCTGTGAGACACCTCTTTTAACTAACAAGTTCACCTTGAGCTGGGACAGGTTTGGAGGAAGGGTTAGTAGATGGACATTGTAAAAACTGACCCTGGATCATTTAGGAAGTTTTAAGATGGAAGAGCTTCCATGGTTGGGCCACTGGGCTGATGTGAGGAGAGGAGGACGTGGATATGGCAGAAAGAGAACAGCGTTAACCAGGAGGAAGGGGGCAGATGAGTCCATTGCTAAAAGCAGAGGGTAAGGCTATCGGGGACAAGCAGGCTGGCCTTTGGAGTCATTCTGAAAAGGCTGCACTGCTTTCCGGCGGAACCTGCCTAGAATCCTGGAGCAGGTGGTCACTATGGTTCAGGCCGAGAAACGCTTGCCTGTTGGTTAAAGGCAGTGGCTTAATCTAGCGAAAGACTCAGAGCCCAAGCCCAGGGCTGGCACTATCTTCAGATGCCTCTCACATGCCAAGCTGGCTGCGGTTCTTTCCTCATAGGGGAGGGCCAGCACAAACCCAAACCAGGCTGACCGCAAGCCCAAAGGAGCTGCAGCTGTGAGGGTCTCCTCCCTGTTCTAACGCAACATCTTAGGAGGCAAGGGGCTGGCCTGTTACCCAAGGGAAACGGATGGGAATTATTCGAATAAGTCATATGCTTCCTTTATTATTTTCCAAACTAAACCCCTGGTTCTACTTTGTAAAATAAATGACTAATCATTGGGATTAATATTTACACTAATGTGGCCTTTAATTGCTAGTCAAGCTAAGTACATAACCGTAAATGTCTGAGTTGGAAGCAATCCTGTAATTACGTCATCTATAACAGGGCAAACTCCAGCCCACGGGCTACATCCGGCCCTCGCTGTCTTCATACGGCCTGTGAGCTAGGAATAGTTTCTACATCTTTCAGTGGTGCGAAAAAACAAAACATTTCATGACACGTCAAAATTATATAAAATTCAAATTTCAGTGTCCATAAATAGTTCTACCGGAACCCAGCCACATTCATGTATTCATTATCTGTGGCTGCTTTTGCACTGTAGACACAGTCGTCGTGACAGAAATTGTACGGCTCTCAAAATCAAAAATATCTGCCACCTGACCCTTTACAGAGAAGGTTTGCTGACCCCATACAATCAAGTACTCAGTGTACAGGAGAAAACAGACTCAGTCCCATCATTTAGGCTCATGCAGTTACAGAAAGGAAACCAGGAGGTCGACTAGGTCCCTACAAAACCCCATCTGACCCTGGAACGGTCTGATTCAGGGGTCACACGGTATATGTAGTGGTAGAACTTAATCTGTGGCAGTGGTACAATTCTCCCTTCCATGCGAAGACTTAGGCTCGATTCTCAGCCAGTGCACCTCCTGTGCAGCCACC